ACAGAATGTTTTAGAAAATTGTTATTGAATGTGAAATGGCTTTGTTAAGTTTATTTCCCTCTTATAAGCATTTTCCAGAGTGTTTTCTGAATCTGGGTTCTGTTCAGCCTGAGATACAGGTGCCTACCCTAGGATCCAGCATATTGGAGGAGCTCAATTTGCTACATGAGTAGGGTCTTAAGAGAAAGAAAGGGCCACCACAGTGGACATTAAGTTAACCAGAATGACAGGTCTCAATTTCCCAATATGACATACAATAGGTTTTATTGCTACAAAGACACAAGACTCTCAAGAGAGTACAGTCATGCATCGCTTAATGATGGGGACACATTCTGACAAATGTGTCATTATGGGATTTCATCGTTGTGCAAACATCACAGAGTGTACTTACACAAACCTAGATGGTCCAGCCTACTACCCACTAGGCTCTATGGTACTAATCTTATGGGACCACTGTCATATATGGGGTCTGTCATTGACCGAAATGTTGTTACATGGCGCGTGACTGTATGTATCTCAGGCACCGTTCTGGGTGCCCGGGAAACTTCAGTGAATGTGACCCTGCTAAGCAGCAAAGGCTCACAAGGGATATATAAATGCTGTGAAAAAAACAGAATAATGGTTAGACTGGTTTTGCCTTAGTTCTTATTTGCTTTTCATATACAATATACGTTTAGAAGCCAAACCCATAAGGATAAGGCTGGTCTAATAATACCTATTTCTCCAGATTCTTTGTTATTGTGCTGTAAACTGGCTGCAATTTGCACCTGTACAACAAATATTCCTTGCAGAAGCATTTGCCAAACCAACTGTGGTAACTGTCACAGCAGAGATCTGCTCACACCTGGAACTGGACACACCTTTGTTGGGCATATGCTGCTTGTTTCCATAATTGCTATGGCTGGCTAGATCTGGGAAAATGCTTGGTGTGAGGCTGGCAGCTGATAGTGGTAGATCCCAACAAAGAGAAAGTTTTCACCAATCTCATTTTGACATAAAAATACAAATTTACAAACAAAAAACTTTAATTTAGCTTTAGATATTGCTATGTGATAAGCCTTGGGAGGAGAGAATCTTATTACATCCAAGTACCTTGATTTTTCAATTCACTGACAGTTAGGCCTAAATGGCCACAATTATACTCTCGTTTCTTGGATTCTTTCTTGTGGACACAAAACCAGTTAAAAGGAACTGATGGACGTGGAATTTAAATACGGCAGTAAGTGAAGCCATTCTAAGATAAGTGTCACATTAAGACTCCCTTCTTGAACCAGGTCATACATGTCTGAGAAGTATTTTGCTGGCTGCCTGGACTGAATGTGTACAATAGCACTACCTAGGCTATTACAGATGACCTTGTATGGTAATGTGACTGGAATTCGAAGAGAGGATCATTGGGACAACGGAAGCAGTTTTAGGAGATCCTTGAGTGGTTTGCCTATAAACCCCACACTTACCAAATTCTGTACTCCAATACACCTAAATGCTTCCTACAATCTATGGATATTATAAGGTAATAAACAGACTTATGCAGATACCGTATTATTAACCATCTTCTCTTTGACATCAAATATAGACATGAGGGAAACTGAAGGATTTTTCCAATTAGCATCCTGTTATTTCTTAGGCCTGGAGCCTTTTTGGAAAATTTGTATCTTTGGGAAGACAGTTATCCTTTTGAAAAATTGTGAAGACTACACTTTCGAGTTCATCTTGAAGGGAAAAATTAGTTTTGCAAGGATACTATCCATCTGCAAAATAAAATGTAAGTGGTCCTGGTGCAAAACAACCCTCCATAGGGGAACTGACTATCAAATGTAAGCTGATTAAGTGCTTCTCAAACTTAAAACTGCACTGTGACAAGACCGTTTGTATGCACAATTCTGATTTAGATTTGGGAAATAAATTTTTCATTCCTAACAAGCTCCAGATGATGCTGTGGCTGCTAGTCTGGGGATGACACGGAAGAGCAAGATGACAGAGGGCCATTAGAGCCCAGGCAGACTCAGAGGCTTGATAACAAGCAGCAAGCTAGCAGAGAGGTTGCCCAATGAGAAAAGAAAACTTACACCTCAGTTCCTCTTACATACCGGCACTCTTTGTCCTTAAGGCTAAACTGAAAGCCTACCACCAAGATTTTAATGAGTCTCCCAGAGTTTTGCTCTTTAAAATGCAGCCCAGCCGTCATTTTTTTCAAATTAAAACACAGATTTAATACAATCTCAACCATCATTCCAAATGCATTATTTTAGAAATAGGCTCAATTATTCCAAGGTTATTCTCCAATAGACAACAATGACAAAGAAAAAAGGGGATGTGGGGTGGGACTGGGGAGAGTAGCAAGGGGAGTGCAACTATGTGATAAGAGAGTCATCATGCATCATTAGGGAATAAATAGTGTTGGACAATTACTCAGCTATCTGACCAAAAAAAAGAGCTAATAATATGCCCCTCCTCCCAATAAATTCTAGATGAAACAAAACATCAACAAAAACAAAAATATGAAAACCCTACAAGAGAGGTGAGCATTTATCAAATCCAGAGTGAAGATTACATTCAAGAGAATTGAAAGAAACAAAAGGGAAAAAAAATTGATAGCTCACACTGTGTGTGTGTATCTTCTGCATCCAAAAATAACATTAACAGACCAACCAGGAAAATGTTTCTATTAATTATGACAAAATAATAAGAAAAATATAAAAATTAGCCTAGAAGTCTTTTCCAAAAGATAACAGAACAGTGTGCTTAGAACTTCTAGGATCTAGACCCCCGACCCCTTTGCTTTCTTAAGTGAATATCTCTCTCCTCTCTACCAGTTTATTTTTATCAACATACTTTCTAGTCCTTCAGATTAAAACAACAAAAATAACAAGAACCAGAGTCCGTTAACCATACCCTTCTTCAGCCACCAACCTATTTCTCTATTCCTTTGCTCATTATCACAACAAAACTTCTCCAAATTGTCTCCACTTCCTTGCCTCCCTTTCAAAGCAGTCCAAACTGGCATCTATCCCCCCTCTCCATTAAAACAGCTCTCATAAAAATCAATGACCTCCAGTGTATCTTCACCTTATTCCACCTCTCATCGCCACTTGACACAGCCCACTCACCTTCATGAAACATTCTCTCCCTTAGCTTCCCTCCAACTTAACTGGCTGTTTTCTTCTTAACTGCCTTTGCTGGTGTCTCCTCTACCCAAACTCTAAATCTGCACTACTCCTAAGAGAGCCCACTAGTCACATGTCACTACTGAGTACTTGAAATGTGGCCAGTCTGTGCAATGTGCTGTAAAAGTAAAATACACATTGGATTTTGAAGCTTTAGTATGAAAAAAGGCGGTACACGTCTGAAGTGTTAGTACGGACTTTGAAGACTTAGAACATGTTGAAACATTTTGGATATATGAATTAAATAAAACATTAATTTCACCTGATTCATTTTACTTTTTAATGGGGCTACTAGAAAATTTAAGACTATGTATGTGGCTCACATTATATTTCTATTGGGCAGTGCTGCTCTAAATGCCAGAAGTATCTTGGGGTTTGGTCTTGCTCCTTCCTCAGCCTTGCTATCACAGTAAACAGTACCATCATCCATACAATGGCTCATATTAGAGGCACAGAAACTGGGAGATCACGATTTGGCCACCCTGAAATATGTCTCTTTACCTTGATTGTTTTCTCTGACCGATATTTGGCCTCCCCCACTAACTGCCTAAAGAATTTAACATCAGTAACTCCTTCCTGGAGTTACTATCTGATGGCTGTAATACAATGTAAAATAGATGTTACAATAGGAAAGGCACCAACAAGCCCATCTTATCAAAAATTCTGTCTCTCCCAGCCCACATTCTCTAGGTGGCCCTGCAAAGAGTTGCCAGACAAACATTTACATTTATAAGGGAAATCCCCATTTGTAAAGGTATCTCCCACTCTGTACTGGGAAGTGTGGGGATAGCCTTGTCTCTGTAGAAACTCTTATCAGTACGGAAGGAAACAACTTAAATCTACATACTTTTGATTCCTGTGATTTCTGTCTCTCCAGACACATTCTCTATAGGTGGCCCTGCAAAGAATCATCTGACATTTACATTTCCCTCTCCATGTAAATTGTCTTCTTCCCCTCTGAAATCGCAACCCCCCCTACCCCCAACATCCTCCTTTGTCTTTAGCTGAAGATAGTATTTAAGATGAGAATCACTGCTGGTTTGTTGAGAAACTCAGTTTCCCTGGTTTCTCCCATGTATACATGTTATTAAACTTGCTATTATTTTCTCCTGCTACCCTGTCTTTTAATTATTTGGCCAGCCATAAGAACCTTAAGGGAAAGGGCACAGGGAGATTCTCCCTCTTCCCCGACAAAACGTAGACAGCAGTATTTTCAGACAATGGGAATGTCCACAGGGCAGGATTCCCAGATGAGACAGAACTGTTTGGTGGAGCAAACAAACAAGCAGAGACTGAGCAAGACTGGTCCAGTAGTTCAGGTTTTCAGACTGAGTGATAACTAAGCCCTACATTAGCTTGCTTTGAGGAACTCAACTTGGCCCATTAAAGTTTCTAGTTTTGCCTCTGGAATGTGTGCCTAGTTTAAGAAACCTTCAACTGGCTCTCCTGTTTTTCTTTCTCTTTTTAAAAGACCATAGTCTGTGATGGTGAAGACTCAGGCAGACCCTAAAATTCTAGTCAACCCCTGATGGTTTGAGAACACAAGCACTGTTCCTCTAAAGAGGATTAATTAACAAATATGCTGCCTCTGACCAAAACTTGTTGGAAATAATGCCAGTTACATCAATTCAACAGAGGCACTGAGATCTGGCACCAGGAAGAAACACAGCAACAAAACCTGTCCCACTTGTTATTAAGAAAAATGAAGTTGAGAAAATTGAAAGACTTGGTTCATACAGATCTTAAAACACAAATGGATTTTAGAAGATGTACACATGTAAATCCAGATTTACTATGTAGATTTAAAACTCCTTAAGTATCAAAACTACTAACCATTCTATAAGCACTCCTTTCAGGACGTTGACCATCTTCCCAGGCAGAAGGTGCAGACGACCTTAAAAATGCTAACAAAAGGGATAAGGTGACATAAAATTCAAAAGCATCAACTTTAATACACTCTGGTGACCTCTGAAACAAGGCGAAATATTAAATGTCAAGACTAAACATTTAAATTTATGAAAGACACAGGGCTAAGATTAAGAAAACATACAGATATTGTAATCTTTTAACAAAATTAAAATGAGTCTATTTGGAATACTAATAAGCATAAATCTTACTTGCAAACAAATTCTACCCACTGTCAATCCTACCGTGTGCCCAACCTAGGTTTAAAACATGTCCGTTAGTCAAAACATTTCTTTTCCCATCCAAAAGTATGATAAAAGAGAAGATCCTGGAGGCAAGAATCACAGAACGGTAGCTCTGACAGGGGCCTTAAAAATTATATAGTGAGCCGGACCATCTGGTTTTACAGATGAGATCGAGCCAAGAGATTAAGCTGTAGCTCCCGGGAAACAAAACACAGGAGGGTGCAATTCCAGTCTCCAGATCTTGTGTCCTTTCACCAAATAATCACGTTCCCCGTGACTTGCGCTTGAAGGCAGGGAACCCACCCAGCGCACGCCAGAGTGACCCTTAAACTTCTACACCTGGGCGCGGGCAACGCCTCCCCGTAGGAAACGCACAGCTCAATGGTGCGGGACGGCCGCCCGCCTCGTCAGGAAGGGCCAGGAGAGGGTACAAGACACCACCACGAACCCCACAACCTGGAGGACATGCTTCTGAGTCATTTCTCGCTCTCCACTCTTTCTTCGAGACCCCTCCGCCTTCCAGATACCCCACTTTACCCTCTTACTCCGAGAGCCGACGCCACGCACCTACGCCCACAGACCCAGCAGCGTCTCGGCGTCGCCGACAAAGTGCGCCTGCGTCGTCTACGTCATCGCGTCTGCGTCTCTCTTGTGGGTGGAGCGCGCCGGCGGGAGGCGGGGCGCGGGCTGGGCCGAGGGGCGGGGTGAGGTGGGGGCGGGGTCACGTACCGCCAGTCACCAGGTGGAGGGCGCGGGGTGGGAGACGCTGAGAGCGGTGGGCTCCCCACCTACGGGATCCGCGGTGAGCGCCGTGGGCGCGCCGAGTCCGCGTGCCGGCAGGTAGGAAGGGGAGGCCGGGCTCGTGGGGGCGGGTGAGGGCGCCGGCGAAGCCGGGCACGGGGGGTAGTGGGGAGGGCGGCGACGGGGCGCGGCCGGGGCGCCCCCGCGAGGACGCGGGGCCCCCGACTGACCCGCTGACCCGCCGCCGGGCGTGAGGGCCGCTCGCTCAGCGTCAGCAGCCGGACTCTTCTTTTCCGGTCACAGCCGTTCTCTAGTTCCTCTCCGAGGCCCAAAGAGCACCTGCCGGTACCATCAGCCCGGGCGGGGTACTCACGGAGAGATGAGGACCAGGAGGTGGAAACAGTCTCCCCATTCACATCGGAACCTTCCAGACCGCAGCTGCTAGCTCTGCCCTGGGGGATTGAATAGATTGAATACTGATAGGTCTCTAAGCCCGGTAACGGTTATTCTAAAGTGAAAGACCCCAGGGGGTTCCAAAATTAATCCCTTCCCCAGATTCTGACCTGTAGTCTCGTAGAGCTCTCTCTTTCTCTAATTGTTTTTACCAGTGGAGATGTGAGGTTCTTGCTTTCTGTGCCTTGGGTAAATTGTGCTTTCCCAATTGAGCTTACGCTCCTTTTTATTTCTTGTGTTCATGTAATTTACGAACCTAGTTTTTCCATTTATTTCCCTCTTTATTCCTCAAATCGTTTTCCTCCCGTTGGTTTCCATATTGTTGAGCACGCTCTCTCTCTCTTTCTTTGATCTGCCCCAAGTATAGTTCCTGCCAAGTATCTTTTCTTTTTTTCTTTCTTGGATGTATCCTCCTCCTTGACCATCTCAGCAGTTCCATTGCGTTGAACCTCCCACTTTTGTGCTCCAGGTGCAGGCCTCATGCCTGCACCTTAATAACCTGTGAGTACTCTCAAGTCCACCTTTCAAATTGAAGTAGTTCTCATTTCATCCTCACGTCAAAACCTGCTTTCTTCCTGTGTTTTTCTGAATCACCCAGATTTGAAACCTCCATCCAATTATTCAACAAACATTTTTGTGGGCCTAATATGTGCCAGACACTGTGCTAGACACTGGAGACACAGTGGTGAACAAGCAACTAATTATGGTGGAAAAGAGAGACACTAAAATGAGTTAACAGGAAGGTATCAGACGGTAATGTGATAAAGAGACTGGAAGGGCTGCTTTGGTTATGGAGGTGTCAGAAATGGCCTTCAGTTCATGCAGATTTCTTTTTTTTTTTTTTTTTTTTAAAGATTTTATTT